AATTTTTCCTGTTCTGTGCATGCCCATATATGACCAGAAGAGCAAATTCAGTAAGAAGGTATTAATGCAGTGTTATAAATGAATTTTAAGTAGTAGATGAACTCACAAATATGGATCCTTTTGGAGTCTCCCTCTGGCAAAGGGAGTAGGAACAGTAGGTCATCTAAAATGATGGTTTTGAGATGGCCACAAAGAGTTTACCTGCTTTCAGCATGTGGTGACAATGTCCTCCCATGAATGCTGAAGGTCACTGAAATAGCTGACCTGGAGCCCATGTGGGCATGTCATGCAAGTGAAGAAAGAAAGATGAAGCCAGGTATTATCCAATGGGTGGTCAGACACCAGACAGAAATGAGAACTCCCTAGTAGATACCAGAGTCCATAAATAGCAGAAGGAGATCAGATGCTTCCCACCTTTACATCCTGAATCCACCTATGCTCCATACCCTGGTGCTCCAAAAGCTGAAAATCAGATGCAGTTCTCAACAGAAGAAGTATCCTCATTTGACTAAAATTTTTCTAAGCATATGGGTAAAGCCATAAATTAATTCAGATTTAGGATGTGCTTAAAATAGAAATAATTATCAAACATTGGGGATTCATAGTAAAGAGTTGAATCATTTCAGTATTCATTCATCAACATATACTTATTGCCATACTAGAAGGTGAGAATACTATATTAAACGTGTCACATCCTAGATGGACACCAAGGCACGCCCAGCAAATAAGCAAATACAGGAAGACCTATAAAATGCATGACATGTTTTGGCACAGGCAAGGATTACAGTAATTGAACGGTGAAAAATAAAGACCACTTTTAATGTTGACATATGGAGAAACTTCACCCAAGAGGAAGGATAATTTAACTAGTCATAAAGCACCATAATGGTTCACACAAATAAGGGGGAAAAAAAGACCAGGTGCCATGGCATGTACCTGTAACCCCACTCCTCAGGAGGCTGAGGCAAGAGGACCACAACTTCAAGGCCAGCCTCAACAACTTAGCAAATTCTCATATTAAAAGGAAAGAAAGAAAGAGACAGAAAAAGAGAGAGAAATGCAATCAGGGGGAAAGTAGGAAAGTATTTTCTATGAGAAGAATGTGTGAGGAGTTGAACATGCTCAAGGCATGCCTGGAGGAAAATAAGTAGATCAGTTTAAAATAAGTCAAATAATAATAAAGAATAGTGTGAGATAATATGACTAGCATGGCATAAGAGGAATGCATTTCTCTTGGTGAATGACTAGTTATGAGGACAAAGCAGAAAAGCATGAATGAATCATAATAGACAAATCTAGTTTTGAGCTTGGGAATTTAGAATTAGGATATTAATGACAGAAGTAGGGAAGCCAGTGCAGAGCTAGTTTTGGGCAAAATGAATATGAGGTGACAACATGACATCCAGGGAAGTGATAAGCAAACAGCTAAAGATGAGAAACTGGATCTCGGTGGAGAAACAAAATTGGAAATGTGTATTTGAGACTTATCAGTGCTGAGATAATTACTGAGGCCTGTGAGTGGTGACTGTCTGATGTGAGGCAATTAAAAAAAAAAAAGTAGAAGTTGGTGTCCACAAAGAAAACAAAGAAGGAGCTGTCAGGAAGTTGGAATGTAATCTATCCCAGGAGCAAAGTCAGGACAATATGCAAGAGGGAATGAGATCAGCAGCATGAAATGCCAGACAGGGATAAAAGAGACAGAGACCAATTTCCTGATGAGATTATTCTAGTGGGAGCAATGTCAGTGGAGTGGTAAAGGTAAAGGAATGCTTCTGAGAATGGGTTTAAGAGTTAGCTGATAGAGAAGGAAAAGATAATTGTTATTTGACCATTATAATACAAATAAAATTATGAAATTGCTAGATTTACAGCATCATCAAGGAATAGGGGGAGAAGCTACTTTTATTTTATTTTTATGTTTGATGTTCCTGCACACTAAAAAGGAAAGCATTCTATGGAGAAAAATCAATCAAGGAATAACAATTCCAGAAGGCTTTGAAATAAGATCTAACCTATCTCATTGTGTTTCAGGCACTGTTTTTCGTGGTTTATACATATTATACCATCTTTTCTATAATACTCTGAAAAGTTGAGTACTATTATCATCTTTGTTTTAAAGATGAGTAAATGGAGGCATAAAGAGGCCAAGTGACATGCCCAACATCACTGTCTGGAAGGCATGGGGTCAAGAATGAATTTGGGTTAAGTGACTAGAAGCATCATGCTCTTATCCACTGGGCTATATCACTTTCAGTGATTATAGAGGAAGTAAATGAATGACTTTCTTCATGAGACTGCAGCCAAGAAAGGAAGGTAGATATACTGGTTTATGCCAGAATGACAATGAAAGCACCTGAGACTATCATGTGAGGTGTGACATCATATTACAGAGTTCCATCTGGAAACTAAGAAAGGAGAGAAGAGGTTGGGAGAGGACTTAGTACTTAAGGAGTTCGTGGAATTCAGAAGGATGCACTGCAGACTCAACATAAGCATACAACTGTGGGACAACTTCTGGAGCCCCTACTGATAAGGGACCCTAAAGACTGATAAGTCAAGGTCAGTGTGGACCTCCAGAGAAAGAGTGGAAGATCTGAGTCTGGAGATAAGCCCAGTGGGTAAAGTTGTAAGGTCGAACTTGGGAGAAATGTTAGGATATTGGATAAAAGTTAATGTAGGTGGCAGATTACATTTTATAATTCCAGACAAGAAGCAGTTTCAAGTAAAAAGAATTTTGATAAATTAATATGGTACTGGCTCAATATCAACAACACAAGGTTTGTAAACCTACATATCAAATTGGATGATCCATATATTTCAATAGGAGCAATAGATACAAGTCTAAGCAATTGAGTCTTCCACTAGAAAAATGTTGTCTTACTACAGGATGATGACCATGATGGTGATTTTATTAATAATATTGTTTTAGATTTGATTGGTTCCTTATTCACTATCAATTAATCTCAGACTCTGCAAAACAAAATTTGTTATGTGTACTGAAAGTACATGTCCAAATTCACATGGCTTGGCTTTTACTTTTTTTCTTCTTCTTTTCTTTCTTTTTCTGTTTGCTTGTTTTAGGCAGGATCTCACTGTGTTGCCAAGGCTCGTTTCTAACTCATAGGTTCAAGATATCCTTCCACTACAGCCTCCCAAGCAGCCGGGCTATAAGGCATTAGCCACCATGCCTAGATTCACATGACTTAAGTGAATAAGCAAAGGCTAACATATGAATGAAATGCTGAGTCTATCCTTGTTGAACAGTTCTAGAAAACACTATTAAAAATCAAGAGTGGAATAGTTCATGTAATTCATGACTAGGAAATACAGTCATAACCCTATGATAGATGACATTTTATAATAAACTGGCTATATTATTATAAGAATTATTAACTTCAATAACTAAATGGATTTCATAAATGTTGGCAAGCATTAAATCACAGAGAATTTCAAATAATATAAAACCATTTTTAAATATCAGTCTTCCTCCACTGATGTACTTTTTTATTTAAGATCAGGAGTAAAAAACAACCAAAAGTCATAAAAATGTCATGTTGAACTTTGTTGGCAGACAATGGATGTTTTAGACCTTGTTTAATCAGGATTGATCACTCAGCTCTCAAAGATGGCATAAAATATAAACAGCTCATTATTCTTTGTATGATAATGTTCACTATTTAGATGGTTGTTTGTGTTTAGACTGAGTTTATAACCATTATTTCAAAAATAAATAAATAAATAAATTTAAACTTAGGGCCCAGGAGTACCCAGGAGTATTGTTCACCTGTTTCTTGGAAGATGGCCTTCATGGATTTTCAACTATAGTGATGTATTTAATTAGTTATAAAGAATTTGGAAGATAAATGCCTAACAAGATTTTGAATTATTCAAGAAAATTTATTTGAAGACCCAGTTTTACTGGTAAATTATTTTTTAGGAGATTTTCATTGTCTGAGAATCTGTACTAGCTAGGTTGCCATTACAATACAGCACTCAAAACATCAAACAGAGCTTACACGTAAGTGCAATATAGTGTTGATTGCTGGCTTTTTTTTTTCCAGGGTAGGGGGATACTGAGGACTGAACTCAGGGGCACTCAGCCACTGAGCCACATCCCCCAGGGTCTCACTGAGTTGCTTAGCACCTTGCCGTTGCTGAGGCTGGCTTTGAAATCTTGATTCTCCTGTCTCAGCCTCCTGAGCTGCTAGGAATTCAGGTGTGTGCCTTCGCGCCCAGCTTGATTGCTGGCTTTTAATAAAACACATGATTATATTCCAGAACCAATCATAAATATTTAATACTTTGTTTCCTGTATGCACACATACATATATTTTATGTATCCACACATACATGTGTACATTTATGCATATATGTACATATATTTATGCATAATGTATATGTGTGTGTGTGTGTATATATATATATATATATATATACACATATATACATATGTATATATGCGTATATATATATATCCAGGTATTGAACACTTCGTGACTTTCTACATATCTCATTACTCTGCACTAATGAGGTGGCTAGGCCCATTTAAAAATCTGTTAATATCTTTCAGATACTTGCTGAAATTCTAAGTATTTCTTTGCACATTGACTGAAATTATAAGTGCCTCCTCATCAAGTAACTGTGATTTAAAGAAGCTTTTTAAGACCATTGAACTAAAACTACAACAATAAATTTATAATGGCATCTTGTAAAGTTTTAGAAAATTTCTTGTCATCTCCACATTGATGTCAGAACACTAAAAATCAGAAACACATATCAGGAAATGACTTTAAAAAGAAAAGTGAATTTTTATTATTTCTCAAGTTCAATTATTATCTGCTTATAAATAATGTTCTTCAATACAAATATTCTTAGCACATTTAAATGTTAAATCTTTAAATATTCTTAATCTATAAATTTCTTCCTTATGTAAGTTTTAATGGTTAAGCATAGTGAAGGTTCCCAGCACAGACATCCCCGTTTGGGTAGAGAATTCTCACCTTATTATAGGCGTTGTGACTAAGGAGGGTGTGAGAATTCTCCTGTTCATCACTCAGTGAGAAGGAGGACAAATGACTGAAGGGTCCTGGGGTAAGACAGTCAGCATGTGGGAGGGTCTGAGGCTGCAGCAGGGACTTAGCAGGAGGATAGAGTTTAGTCTGATATAAAGGATGGAGCGAAACAGGCTTGTGAGGCACTGTCATATCCTGGGAAGAAGAAAGGCATAAGGAGTACGTTAGTGGACAAAAGTCAAGCACACTTTTAGTTTTATTGTAGATGCACTAGTATGAAGAACAGACTTCTCATAAGGAGGTATCACTCACAAGACACCTGCTTCAGAGTGTACTATTTGTCTCTTTCAATAATTCCTTTTTATCCCCCATCTCCAGCCTTTGTGCAGAGCAAAATAAGGGCCTGCACAGTGTCTCCTGAAGGGTGCTAAGTTTGTTATTTTTGGAAGTCTTGAGAGCAGAAATGTGTAAGAAAGGAGAGAGCCTATCCAAAGAGGTTGGATGGGGATATTTAAAGAGGAAATAGCGGTGGAAATCAATTCAAGGATGCTTCTGACTTGCTCTAGAAAAAAATGGAGGAGAAAGAATAGGACATTGTAGAGGATATTAAGATCTGAGTGAGGGATTGAGGTACTAGGTTTAGTTCATCAAATAGTGAGTTTTCAAGTTTAATTTAGCAGAGAAAAAGAACTGGGGAAAATTGAATCTGGAAGGAATGAAGGAAGACTTCAATTCCAGACATTGTCCCCTTGGAGAGAACCCAGCAGTGCAACCACAGAGAGAGGTAACAGCCCTTAGGGTGATCTTTAACATGGAAATGGGAAGAGCCAAAACAACCTTTGTGGAGGTAAGAGCTATTTAATGAGAATATGAATGATGTGAATGAGCAAGGAAATTATGAAAATGAGAATTTATTCTAGCTAGCAATAAAAGTTGCAAAATGAGCATATATGTATGTATGTACATATACATGTATGTACTTTTTAAATGTAACCTGAATTCATTTTTCCAAGCAATATATTTTCAAGCAACTGATTGATTTTCAAAAATGTACACTTCGTGTGTTGCTATACCAGAAGATATCCTATGTTTTAAAAATATTTTCAAATAATTGGTTAAAATTTACCTTAAAAACTTCTTGGAAATTTTTAAGTAAGCTAAAAATCTTAAGTTTGCAGAATGATAGGTTTCAACCTTCTATACCTTGAAAGAATGACTGTGTTTTATTTCTACTAGTTTTTCATTTCTTCTTCAAGTATATCTTTAGAAAAAATACAAATACATATTCTAATTTCACACATACACAACAAGCATACACTCACTATAAAAAAGATAGCATCCTTTATACAATATCCTGTATCACATTTGTTTTTTCATTTAACAACAATTTTGGAATACTTATCAGTATTTTAAAGCTATTCATTTTCTATCAAGACACATTATTGAGTTATTCTAATTATTATTTAACAATTTAATAATTATTTATTGTCATTTAGTTGATTCCCTTAGAAATTCCAGGTGAATCACTTAAAATAAAATCACCTAATACTGATGAGATTATCTCCTCTCTGCTACTTAAGACACTTCTCATTTTTTTTGTCTAATTTCATTAACTTATAGTTCTCATTCTTCTTATATTGAAATATATTCTGCTTTGTCTTATTTATCAATCAAATATTTTATAGTTTTATTAAGAACTCATTACACATCTTAATCAGTGTGAAAAGTGAATAACATGAAAACTGAATAGCAAACACAAAACTAGTTATCCAAGAAAAGGGCAGATTGCTCTTGATAGTTGAATTAGAAAAAGGTGGCTGGAACAGTCTCTGGTTAGGCTTCATTTTTCTTGATGGGTTTAAGAACCCATTCTCAGGATGTCCAGGGACAAGCCTGCAGTGATTCATGGGAAACAGAGGGTACACAATATGGGAGAATCCTGTAGGCTCTAGTTTTATGCAGTCAGGAGGAAAATGTCCTCCTAGAGTGTGCAGCTCTGTGTTTTATACTTCTGAGTTCACTGTGGTTAAACTCCAATTCATGGGAGTAAATCAAACCTGAACCCCTTGTGGGATTATGTCACCACATGATCCTAGCTTACCCAGGCATCTGGGCAGACAGGGAGAGCAGAATTTTATCAGCAACAGGACAGGCCAAAGAGAACAAAGAGTCTAGGCCAATCTCATGTGAGTACTGCTGGGTTTACAGTGCAGAATAAAGGAGAAAATATTTTTGATATCTATGTCACCTAAGCCTCCTCTTTCAGTCTGTGCTAGCTATCTCTTGGGCTTCACATCAAGTTGTTATCCTGCCATTCTCTTTACCATTACCCTGGGAATTTTCTCTGCTTTGTTCTTGTATTCAAACTTCCGTTTCCAAAATTCTAAGGTTCTTTTTCTTAGTTTTCTCCTCTATGTACACATTAAGCTATAAATTTTCTTGCAAAGACTATTTTATCTATATCTTGTATATTCTAAAATATAATAATTGTAAGGATGATGATCTTATTACCATTTTTCCTCAGGTAGAAATCTTATGTTTTTTCAAGTTGTATCTCTTTTGCATTAGTTTAAGAAGTTGGTTTTAATATTATACAAAGTAACATATAATCATTATAGAAAAATTAGAAGATAGAAGCAAGCTAAAAGACAATTTAAAAAAGTAATTTTAATCCTATGAACCCAAAGACAATCTTCCAAATATCCTTCTTTGGGGTTGTGAGGGAATAACATACTTCCTAATTTCAAAATATACTACAAAACTACAAATCAAAACAGTTTAAGGTACTGGCATAAAAATAGACATGTAAGCCAATGGAACCAGAGTAAAGAGTGCAAAAATAAATCCATTCTTTATGACAAATCAGCTGATTTTTTATAACAATGCCAAAACATACAATGGAGAAAGAATAGACTTCTTTAATAAGGGAAGCCTATATATCCACATCAGAAGGATAAAATTGGACCCTTGTCTCACACCATGTGCAAGAAATCACTCAAGATGGATAAAAGACTTAAACCTAAAGCCTGAAACTGGTAAAACTACTAGAGGAAAAGAAGGGAAAAATTATTTTGACATTGGCTTGGGGAGTAATTTTTTGAATATGACATCTAAAACATAGGCAACAAAAAGTAAAACTTTATGCATGAAAAAAATCAACAAAGTATAAAGGCAATCTGTGGAATAATATCTGTAAACTATATTCCCAATAAGGGCTACTATCCAAACTATATGTGGAATTTAAACAAGTCAATATAAGAATAATAATAATAAAAACTCTCCCCCACACACATACATACTCTGATTTAAAAATGAGCAAGGGACTTGGTTTAGGTAGCTTTGCATTGCTGTGATCAAAATACCTGACAAGAATAAATCAGAGGAGGGAAAGTTTATTTTGGCTCATGGTTTCAGAGATTCAGTCCACAGTGTGCTGACTCCCCTGTTCTGGATCCAAGGTGAGGCTGAACATTATGGTATAAGAATGTGGGGAAGGGAAGCTGCTCATTGCATGGTGACCAGGAAGCAGAGAGAAGGGACATGGAGTTAGTGTCACAAGGAAGATGAACCCTTTCAGTACATGCACCCAGTGTTCACCTCCTGCAGTCACAGCCCACCTGCCTACCACCCAGTCAGTCTATTCAAACAAGGATGGACTGGTTAATTACAGATCTCATAATTTAATCACTTCTCCTCCAAACATTCCTGTACCAACACAAGAGCTTTTGGCACCATATATACAAACCATAACAGGACCTAAATAGATATTTCTCAAAAGAAGATATGGCTAATGAGTACGTGAAAAGGTAAATGGGGATATGAAAAAATGTTCAGCATCACTGATCATTAGGGAAATGCAACAAAACCACAATGAGATATCACCTCACCTCTGATCCAAAACACCAAAGATTACAAGTATTGGAAAGAATGTGGAGAAAAGAGAACCCTTGTGCACTGTTGTCAGGAATGTAAATTAGTTTAACCATTATGGAAAATGATATAAGTTCCTCGTAAAATTGGAACTAAAACTACCATATGAACCAGCAATCCCACTACTGGGTATATATGCAAAGGAATTGAAATCAGTATGTTGAAGAGACACTTGCACTCCCATGTACATTGCAACACTATTCACAACAGCCTAGAAATGGAAACAACTTAGGTGTCCATCAACCAATAAATGGATAAAGAAAATGTGGCATATGTATACAATGGGATACTATTCAGCCTTTAAAAAGAACGGAATCTTTTCATTTGTGAAAACATGAGTTGGGCCAGAGATCATTATATTAAATGAAATAAGCCAGGTACAGAAAAACAGTACTGCATTATTTTACTCATAGAATATCAAAATATTGATCTCATAGAAGTTGAGAATAGAACAGAAATTATCAGAATCTGGGGAGAGTAGGAAGGAGGAAAGGATGGTGAAATGTTGATCAGTGGATACTAGCTACAATTAAATAGGGGCAAGAAGTTCTGGTATGCTATTGCACAGGATGATGACTATAGATAACAATAATGTACTGTACATTTCAAAAAGCTAGAAGAAAGGATTGTGAAAATTTTCACAAGAAATCAAAAATATTTGAGGAAATAAATATGCACAATATGAACATGTGCAAAACATCATGTATCATAATAATATGTATAATTGTTACATTTTTTACCAGTTAGATATAATTAACAAAATTAAAAATATGTTAATAAAAATGTAAGGTAAACATGTTTACCTTTAAACATAAGGTAAAAAATGTTGATGAGATTATGAAGGAAAGGAAACCTTTGCACACTGTTCTTGGGAATGTAAATTCCAACACTTAATATGGAAAGCAATAGTGAAATTCCCCCCAAAATTGAAAATATTACTACCATAAGATTCAGAAATTTCACTTCTTGATATATACCCAAGGAAATTAAATCAGTGGCTTGAGATACTAGTACTCCCATGTTCTCTGAATAATTATTCACAAAATACAAGATATGGTAACAACTTAGATGTCCATTAGTTGTCAACATATAAAGAAAACGTAATAGATAAACCTGCAATGGAAGATTAATCAACCTTACAAAACAAGGAAATCCTGTCATTTGTAATAACATAGAAGAAAGTAGAAGTGAAATAATTCAAACATAGAAAGCCAAATACAGTGTGAACTCATTTATATGTGGATGTTAGAATAGTTAAATTAAAA